TCTCTCTCTCTCTCCTTCCCTCGCCCTCTCTCTCCCTTCCTTCCCTTTCCCTCTTCTCTCTCTCCTCCCCCTCCTCTCTCTCTCTCTATCCTTCTTACGCCCCCCCTCTCTCTACCTTCCTTCCCTTTCCCCCTTCTCTCTCTCCTTCCCTCTCCCCTTACCCCACCTCTCTCTCTCTCTCTATCTCTATCTCCCTCTTCGTGAGTCTCCATCTCTGTAAACTCCAGATCCAGGGACTCAGAATTGCAGCATTTGAAGGGATCAAAATACTTAAAGAGTTTCGCTTGGAATTTCCACTGGCAACGAAAGCAGGTTCACGGTTCACAGAGACAGAGAGAGAGAGACAAATAAAGGGGGAATAATAGAGAGAAATAGAGAAAGATGTTTGAAAAAAGAAAAGAAAAATGGAAGGTAATGTATGAATAAATAAAGAGAGAGAGAGAGAGAGAGAGAGGTAGAGAGAGAGAGAGAGAAGGAAATAGATAGATGGAAAGAGAGAGAGAGGGATAGTCTGAGAAAAAATAAACGAAAGAGAGAGCGAGAAAGAAGAAACGAGGAGTCAAAACAAAAGAAAAAAGAAAAAAAAGAAAAAAAGAAGCCCTAAGACCAACAAACCAAACCAAAAACAAAAACCAAAAAACAAAAAAAAAAACAAGATAACACAGATAACAAACATACACCCAAGTAACCGTATCTTTTTTTTATAAAGCAAGAGGACACAACCGAGAGATAAGGCGACCCGATAAAAAGGACTCTCTTATCAGGGAGGACGATGGCCAAGTTTCCCAAGAGAAGATACAATGGAATTAACAGGATCGAGAGAGAGAAGAGAATCGACGAGGAGATGCAGGTGAGAGAGAGACAGAGAGGATAAAGGGAGGGAGGAAGGAAAATACAAAGCGGCGAAGAAAACTGGGTCGTGGAAATAGAGAGAAGAGAGAGAGAGGGAAGGATATATATATATATATATGTATATATATATATATATATATATATATATATATATATATATATATATATATGTGTGTGTGTGTGTGTGTGTGTGTGTGTGTGTGTGTGTGTGAGTGTGTGTGTGTGTGTGTGTACATATATATATATATATATATATATATATATATATATATATATATATATATATACATACATATTATATATATATATATATATATATATATATATATTTATATATATATATATACATATATATATATATATTTATATATATATATATATATATATATATATATATATATAGAGAGAGAGAGAGAGAGAGAGAGAGAGAGAGAGACAGACAGACAGACAGACAGACAGACAGACAAGCAGAGACAGACGGACAGACAAATAGAGATCGAGAGAGAGAGAGAGACAGACAGACAGACAGACAAACAAAGAGAGAGAGAGAGAGAGAGAGAGAGAGAGAGAGAGAGAGAGACAGACAGATAGACAGACAAACAAAAAGAAAGAGAGAAAGAAAGAGAGAGAGAGAGAGAGCAAGAGAAAGAGAAAGACAGACAGACAGACAGACAGACAGACAGACAGACAAGCAGAGACAGACGGACAGACAAATAGAGATCGAGAGAGAGAGAGAGACAGACAGACAGACAGACAAACAAAGAGAGAGAGAGAGAGAGAGAGAGAGAGAGAGAGAGAGAGAGAGACAGACAGATAGACAGACAAACAAAAAGAAAGAGAGAAAGAAAGAGAGAGAGAGAGAGAGCAAGAGAAAGAGAAAGACAGACAGACAGACAAAAAGACAGGGTCAGAAAAACATAGAGGCAGAGAGACAAGGAGGGAGAAAAATCCTACAGAAACAGAGGCAGAGACTAACAACAACAGCAAAAAACAAAACAAAAAGAAAATACGCTTTTTAATTAAAGGTTTGAAATCGAGAGTTTCCGTTTTAATGCTTTTCCTCCCAATTAATACTATGACAGATTTACGCCATTTGAATTAAGGTTAATTGGTGTCTCGCAAGTGTGGACTGTCCTTAAGAAAAAATACATTAATAATTACCATATTCACTGTGCAAGAGATCTATTTAACCGCTTTCGAATATATCTCCGTCAGAAACACGTGTCTACTTGACGAAGATATATTTGAAATGACATATATAAAATACGTATCTTGTGAAGATATTCATTCTCATTCATACCTTTTTATACATTTGCCAACATGAATTCGAATTAGGAATTATCAAAATAAATATAAATTTATTTCGTATCGAGATCTGTCTATTATAACTAGGCCTACAAATATATTTTTTTCTTCGTATTACCATATTGTAAAACTCGCTTAAAAACTACTTTTCAAAGAGAGAGAAAAAAGAAAAATATTTATAAAGAAGTTGGATATGTGGAGACATTTACAATTCATAAAGGCCTAAGGAAAACACTCTTCGCTAATTTGCATAAGGAAATTACACTTCAAGTAGAATAAACATGTTTATCTTAAGCCTATCTTCTGACGTAATCTAGAAAAAAAAACATAATCTAAAGACGCGACGAAATTTGATAAGCTGCTCAGTATCCGGTGATGAATAAAAACGAATTTGGGGATATTACATTTAAGGAAATTTGAATACTTGGTATTATTAAGTTATTTTGTTGTAAGAAAAAAAAAAGTAAAAAAAATAAATGAATAAAGCTAGATTGTTATATGGAGCAGAGAATGATTTAAAAGTCTCATTAAGTACTCAATATTATGAACAACAAAAACATGAAACTCAACTGTCATATGAAAAAGGGGAAAGGGGGTGGGGGAGGGGGGATTGATTACCTTTTGTCACCTGTTCTGCGCGCAAGGAGAAGATTGATCACCTTTTGTTTGGCATTTTCGTTCAGCTTTCAAGGATGATATGTCGATAGGTAAACAAAACAAAAAAAACAACAACAACAAAAAAAGATCTCATTGACTATTCATCGACGCTCCTCTCC